TACCTACCTACCTACCTACCTACCTACCTACCTACCTACCTACCTACCTACCTACCTACCTACCTACCTACCTACCTAACCCTAACCCTAACCCTAACCCTAACCCTAACCCTAACCCTAACCCTAACCCTAACCCTAACCCTAGTTGATGCCTCGTCAACCCTAGCTGATGCCTCATCAACCCTGCGTCACACCCCATCGTAGTTCTGTGAAACCACTCCACTTGCCACTCACTGCCCCCTTGCCACCCCTACCCATCCCATGCATGACCCATATCCACATTCCCACCCACCCCACCATATTCATCCTCCACCCTACCGTGTGAATGGCTGTTCATGGGCGTCGATTGAGTCTTTGATGCTGATCGACAATCTCCATCCCCCATTGACACTTGCCCGTGTCACTCGTTCGGGTTCGCATGTGCGGGTTGTTGTTTGACATGAATGTCATTCAACATTTTCATGATTCGCCACTCGTCACTCGCTCGATTGTTTGACATCGAATTGATTGTTTTGATCATTGTCAATTGATGATTCGTTTCTTTCCGTTTCTTTTCTTGTTGGCTGACCATGATCTTCGTTGTTTGCCGTTCATGTTTCCACATGCTTTGTTGTTGCTATTGTCTGCCTTCATGCTCTGCTTTGGTTACTTTTGCCTTTGATGGTTGACTACAACCGACATGCATTCTCATTGATCATTCCTTTCGCTCTTGTTGTTGCTTTGTATCATTCCCTGTCATGCTTCAATTGTTCTTGACTCTCCTGTTCTCTTCGACCTTGACTTCAATATCCACCATCGGGCCTTGCTCTCTACACTATCGATTCTCATCTTTGTTGTCGTTTGTCATGGTCAATAGTTGTGCATGCAATGTATTTCGTGTTGACCCTGTTGTGTCGTGGTTATGGTTGATCTGCAGATCTGATCGATCAACCGTGCCCTGCCTCATCGACCTCAACGTCACCCGAATTCGTCCTATTGCCTGCTAGCTTTGTCCAGTCCCTGTTGGCTTACTTTTACGTGTGCTGTGCAAGCCATGTATGATCTTTGGTTGTTGTTGTGGACGTCATTGCCTCGTTTGATGCCCGTTCCGGCTTTTCTTCAATTAATTCAACGTTCAACTCAATTAACGTCCGCCGCCTTCCCTCTGCCGGCCAAGTACCCGCCGCCCCTATCGCCCACACCCCACACACACCCATCAGCCGTATCATACTCACCGTCATCAATGCTCAAGCCCAGTCGCCATACCCACCACCCCTTCGCCCGTCACGACCCCACGTCACGACCCCCCTCATCGCCCCCTACCATACTCATCACCATCCGTCACCACCAACCACCACCCCCACCCCCCTACTCCACCACCATCACTATCATTGCAGCGACAACCACCACCCTCATTCCGTGGCCATCGCCACCACCATCCCATCGCGCACTCGGCTTCCTCTTCCTCCTCATCCTCCTCGTCTTCCCGCTCTACGTCACCTCCATCCTCATCGCCGACCCCGACACCCACACTCCTCAACCATCACAAGTCATACTGCCCAATCTCCAACCAACAGTATTCTCAAGCCACCCAGTTCCGACCCAGCGCACTCTGCTGCCCCTGCCTCGCCGACCACCAGCCGCCCAGCCGTCGCCCGCTCGCCCGATGAGCCCACCTTCATCACCACCCAGCTCCCACCGACCACTAGCTACGCTACCCACGACCTCACCCAATGTCATCACACACCTCACACTATCACCAGTACCAATATCGCTGTCACCTATACCCATTGACCTCGGCTCACTTGCGCAGCCACTTGTTTGCCCTAGGTGGTTGAGCACGCCCTCGACCGTCCGACCCCGCACACGCCCCCCACCACACTCATTGCAAGATATGGCCAATCTGATTTCACTAATACTCTACTACATATCCACACTACCCCCTTGCACAGTCTACAATCCACAGCTGCAGTATTCCGGAATCCGAGTTCTGCCACCCGAGGCCCAAGTTGTTGGCCCTGTGTCCCTTTCAAGGTGCTGACCCCCCTGCCGCGGGCCCATATCCGACCCCCACTCCCCACCATCTTCACCCACAACCACCACACCCACACCACACCTGCCTACGATCACTACAACCTAATCCATCCAATCCCTGCCCGCGTGGACGAACCTCAGCCGACACCAGCCCGTCAACAGCAGCGCTGCCGGCCGCCATGGATGGGCTGCTACCTGCGACCGCCCCTGCCGCTTGCTACGTTTTGCAGCTGCATCCACCACACCACCTCAAATGCACGCGCTGAAAGCCGCGATGCCATGTGGAAGAGGTTGAAGACAAAGATTTATCCAAGGAGGTCCTTAAAGTATGCCTTGGCCCGTGCAAACTCCTTCTGGAGCTGGTCAAAGTTGGTGGCCACGCCGCCGGCGTCGCCGGCCTTGGAGGCCGCCTCGGTCGCCCGTGCCGCCTTGAGCATCGCGTCTGCCCCGACGTTGCCGCACGACGATCCAATGTAATGTGCATGGGTATAGGTAGCCTCGTGATCGCCCGCAGACCTGCCCTCACGCCACCGGCCTCCAACATCACGTCAGTCTATACACATCATAATCGCCCTCCCCATCCCTCCTCCCCTCATAACGTACACGGATGCTGACAGCTCAGGCATGCGCTCCTCGACCGTCTCGATAAACAGATCCGCGCACTCTTTCACAAACTCGACATCGTCCTCGGCAGCCATGTACAGCTGCCACACCAGCGTGAGTTGCTCTCTGTCCCGCACCCCAACCACCCCCCGCACGCGCTGCATGCACCCACCCACCACAACCCCACCACAAGCAATCATCCCCAACTCGAGGTCGCCCCTCACGCCATGCGCCTGGCTTGAGCACACCATCAACGATAACAGTCTCAGCAAAGTGACTCTGTTCTTCTCCTTCCCCCCTTCAGCTGCCCAGCTAGTCACGCCCCCCCCCCCCACCAGCCCAACCTGCCAGCAAACAACCAGTCCTCCCCACGTACCTGCGACAGCAGCTCGTGGGAGATAAAGTCGGGCACATCATCAGGTCCAGGACACGCCATGCTTGTTCCACACACGAGGTCGGCAGAGAGGTATTACCTGCCCTTTCCTCGACTCTCGACAGCCTGCCATTGCTGTTCGTTTGTTCGGCCGAACTACGGCCATTGTTCCGCTCTTGCCTCACCAGCCAATAGCCAATTCCGCACCATTGACTAGCCCCAAACGCCAACCATTGCTAGCTCGACTCGTCTCCTTCGGGCAATCGGATCCCAGGGCGTTTACACCACTGCGGACTACACAGTCGCACTCGACATGACAAAAGCCACAAATTGAAGCCCAATGCGGTGCTCCTCGATCTCGTTGCTGCTCCTGCCTCACTGCCCTCACCATCGCCACCAGCATCATCGTCCCCACAGTCCGATCGATCGACCGGCTGAATCACCGACTGACCGACCACCTACCCCCCACCCCACCCCACCCCCACGCCCACCCCCACCCCCCACCCACCCCTTCCCCCCCCTCCCTTCCCACAACCAACCTCACCTCGCCACCACCACCTCCAACCCCACCTCTTTCCGCAACTCCTCACAACCCACCTACCCCACCCCCTCCTCCAGGCCGCCGCACTGTAGCGTCGCCTCCCCTCGCCCCCCCCCCCCCCCCCCTTCCACACACACACACGCATACATACATACACATACATATATGTCAACCGGGCTCACTCCACACCCGCCGCCACCACGGATCCGCACGCCTCCGTACCCTGTACCCCCCGTCCCGGCGAGGTTGTCGGACCCGCCGCCGCCGCCGCCGCCGGTAGCGGCAGCGTACCCGGCACCGCCGCTCCCGCCCGGCCCGCCGCCGGCAGCCCAGCAGCCTCCACTCCCACCCGGCCCGCCGCCGCCGACGTCGTCATCGGCAGCGCCAGCCTCGGCTGGTGGTAAGGCGTTGTCGGTACCCGCAAGCTCGCAGAGCCCCACCATGGTTGCTTCGACCAAACCGATCTTCACTTCGAGCAAGAAAGCTGCGATGTGGGGCTCGCGCTCGGTCGACGTCTTCCAGAAGGAGCGCCACGTGGGCGAGGGCACCTTTGGCATGGTCTATCTTGCCACCGACAAGGCTACCGGCGAGCGCGTTGCGCTCAAGAAGGTCCGCACCGAGTCTGAGCGCCAAGGCTTCCCCATCACCGCCATTCGCGAGATCAAGATCCTCAAGGGCCTCAATCATCCCAACGTGGTCTCGCTCAAAGAAGTCGTCATGTCCGACCTTGGCACCGTCTACCTTGTCTTTGAGTATGCGTCAAGTGATCTTGTTGGCATTCTGGACAACCCGGAGATCCCTGCGCTCACGCTGGCCCAGATCAAGACGTACCTCAAGCAGACGCTCGAGGGTCTGTACTACGTCCACGCGCAGAAGATCATGCATCGCGACATCAAGGCTGCCAACTTGCTTGTCCACGACGGTGTGCTCAAACTTGCTGACTTTGGCCTCGCCAAGCCCATCGACCGCAACGCCGACGGCTTCACCAACCAGGTCGTCACTCTCTGGTACCGAGCCCCAGAGATTCTGCTCGGCGAGCGCATGTATGGTCTGCCCATCGACATTTGGTCCGTCGGATGCATCATGGTCGAGCTCCTCACTGGCCGCGCCTTCCTACCGGGCAAGGACGAGGCCCACCAGGTCGATCTCATCTGCCGCCAGCTCGGCACCCCGACCGAGGCCACCTGGCCCGGCTGCACCAGGCTCCCGCGCTTCGCAACCCTCGTCAAGAACAAGTACCCGCCCATGATTGCCCGCACCCTTAAGGATCTCCAGCCTGATGCCTACGACCTCGTCACGAAGCTCCTGTCTCTTGATCCCGCCAAGCGCCCAACCGCCCAGGAGGCGCTCGAGCACAAGTTCTTCTTCAACAAGCCTCGCCCGCTCAAGCCGGAAAATATGCCCAAGTTTACCTCGCATGAGCTTGACGCCAAGGAAATCCGCAAGAAGATGCGCGCCGAGCAGGCTGTCGGCGCAAAGCGCGCTGCCGCCGCCGCCGCTGCTGGTGCAGACCACCCCTCGAAGCGCTCGCGCAACCTGTACAACCAGCCTGTCCACCGCCACCAGCACGGCGGACCACAGCGAGGTAACTCGGGCCCACGCCGCCACCACCACCCCTATCCGCACCAGCGCCGCGGCGACCGTGACCGCCGCGGTGGTGGTTCCTACGATCGCGGTGATCGCAACCGTGACCGCGACCGCAACCGTGACCGCGGCCCGCCGCCGGGCCCACCGCGTGCTCGCGGCCCGCCGCCGGGCCCACCCGCCCCGCAGCAGCGCCATCACCACCCGGGCGCCGCCCGCCGTGGCGGCCCGCCGCAGCGCCACCGCCACCCGGGCTTCAACCGTCAGCGCCGCCCAAACCGCCCGCCGCCCAAGTCCGCTGCCAAGAACGGGTCGTCCGGCCGCGGTGGGGCCGGCCCCGCCGCCGGCAAGTAACCGCCATGTAGCTCCCCGCATCGCTGGCCTTTCGCTTATGAACCCACCCTTACTCACATAAGCATCTTGCCTATCTTCATACGTGAGCTACCCTCCCCTCCCTCTCAGCGCCGCGCCCTGATCCGGGTCTGCACCCAGGCCGGCGGTCCTGGCGGTGGTGGTGGCGGCGGGAGGTGCGCTGCCGGTGCGTTAGCGGTAATCTCACGAGTGCGAACAGAGCGCCGAACCGGCGCCACAGTGGCGACATCAATCGGGGTATACGTCGCCTGCGCGGTCGAAACATACGGCGACGACGCCTGTGCCCGTGCCGCTGCTGCTCTCCGCAGCCTGCTCGTCCGCTGCGCCACCACGCCGCTAAGCGGGAGCGCCTGGGTGTGGGGCGCGTTGAGGACGTCGGACACCGAGAGCTTCTCTCCTAGTGTCAGCATGTTGATCGTCGCGGTCTCCATCTCCTGCGGCTGCGTTGGCAGCTCGCCTCCCGAGTGGCCAAAGAACAGATGCGGCGGGAGCGACTGATGCGCCCGGGTGGTGACCACAGCCAACGACGGGTCTGCCTGGCCGCCTCTCGCAGCACTGTGGTCCGTGTACGAGGCCATAAACTCGCTCTCAGGCGGCACAGCAGCCTCCACTGCACCAGTGCCCGAAGCAACCTGGCCCGCTCCACTTGCACTCTCCTTGCACCTGTTCTCATACCAATTCCCCACAAGCACCCCGTCCTTGTACGTCGCCATGCTTGCTGTCTGCCTAAACCCGCAAGCCAACCGTTGACAAGTGGCAGACCAATCGACCCAAAGCCAAAGCCAGTGCCAAAGCCAAAGCCAATCATTTCGCTCACTTGGCGCCACACCCAACCTCACCCTCACCCACCCTCACACACACACACACACACACACTCTCTCTCTCTCTCTCTCTCTCTCTCTCTCTCTCTCGCTGTCCATACATCACATGACTGCCGTCTCTCCTCTCGATGCAGAGCGTTTGGTCTCGTCCCTCGGAATCCACTCTATCACCGCCGTGGGCTCGCCCGAGTACGCGACCCTTCCCTCCTCCGTCCTCCCGCCCTCCCTCCTCCCCCCCCCCCCCTTACTTGCGGCTCACGCTACACTCGTAGATGGATGCGACAGCGCGAGACGGTGGAACGCCTCAACATGCAGGCGCATCAGTCTGCGGCTGCCAACTCGGACGAGTTTGTGACAGAGGCCTTTATCACGCTGGAGCAGGTCTCCGTCCTCGTTCACGAGCTGGTGGTGGCCGAGGTCTGGGCCGACTCGGTCCTGCCCGAGGTCATTGCTGCTGCGCGCGAGATAGACGATACAACGAGTGCAGACGGCAACACCTCAACGGTCAAGCCGTACTTGGTCGTCTTTCACCAGGCTACCCTCGCCAATCTCCTCGAGATCCTGCTGTTCTCACAGGCGGCCGCACTCTCGCTGACCGAGGAGGCACTCATCGAGCTCGCCGACTGGTGCATGCGCAAGCTGGCGTGGCTCAACTCGGCAGAGGCGAGCAACCACGGGCCAGAGGTCCCTGTCACCTCAGCAGACGAGCTTCTTGCTGAGGATCCGTGGGCGACACTCGCCAAGCAGGCGGCCAAGGTCCAGTTTGACGTCGCCGTCATCTCGGTCACCCTCCTCCGCTACCTCTCGCAGTATGTGACTGACCTGCCTGTCGCCCTCTCATCGCGGCTGATGCGGGTCCATGATGCCCCGCTCTCGCTTGTGCCGCTCATCCACTCCCCGCCCTGGGTCACGTCCGCGCCGGTCAAAACCAAGAAGGGTAAGACCAAGATCAAGCTCCACAAGTACATCGACGGCAGCTGGCGCCCGCTCTCGTCCGGCGATGTTGCGCTCCTTTCAAAGACCGAGATCCAGGTCTGGCTCACGCTGTACAACCTGCTCATGGAGCCGTCGCTGAGGTCGGCGTACGCGTTCAACTCGTCCAAAAACTCGGTCCTCACTTCGCTCACCGGCGCCCTCACCCAGCCGGTTCTGGACCAGATCCCGATACTCGCCCCGTTTGCGCGCTTCCTCCACGAGCTCACGCTCTCGACGCCGCCTGCCGCCACTGCTACGCCCCGTCGCTGTTTTGGAGACGGTAGCAGTCATGCGGAACCACGTGCTCTCCGAGCTTGGCGACCAGCCTGCACTGCTTGCGCAGGCCTTTGTCGACGCCATGATCGACGACTCGCCCGACACCATCGCCGCCTACATGTCTGGCCTGGCTGACACCTACTCGCTCGACAATCTCGAGGACGTACTTGACCCGCCACGCTGCGTTGTCTGCGGCGACGACGCCGTCAACCGCTGCTCCCGCTGCAAGGCCGAGTGGTACTGCGGCCGCGAGTGCCAGGTCGCTGCCTGGAAGGACCACAAGCCGCTCTGCGACCTCATCGCCTCTGCCGTCACCCCGCAGTAGTTGCCTTCAATTGACGCTCACCTGCGGGCCATTGCTCTCGACGCGCTCGCCAGCACCCCCGCTGCCAGCGTCGACGTCGCGCGCAGACGACGCTGCAGGCGCAGGCTCGGACCGCGCCGTCATCGAGCCATGTGAGCCGCCGTCGTCGGAAGGCCGGCTGAGAGCCGACGCGTGGTTCACGCTTCCGCGCGGCGATGCCCGCCCGGGACTACGCTCCGGACTAAAGTTGAAGAACCCGCTGTGGGCGTCAGCAGACGCGCCGGTCGTTGTCACCGGGCGCGGGTTGCGGAGCTCGTTGGTCACCGCCGGCTCGTATGGCGAGCCGACAGCAGCGAGCGCAAGCCGCGGAATGCGCTCGTCGCGCTGCCGGTCGGCCTTACGAGCGAGCTTGCGGTGCTTCCGCCGCATATCGCGGAGGTGGTCCTCCTCGTGCGAGTGATACGAGCCCGTGTACGAGCCTGACGAGATGGAGTCGACATCGTAGTGCGACGCCGGGCCAACTCGCGACACCCGCTCGCGCGAGCTCGACCGCTGCCGCGGCTTGGTCCGTGGCGCAGTGGCTCGTGACTGCGACTTGGACCGCGACCGCTGGCTTGGCGAGAGCGACGCCGTCGACATGCCCGTCGCCGGCCCGCGCCGCCGAATCGGCGACGCCAGCCGTCCGTCGTGCACGTGCGAGGTCGAGACCGATGTTGCGAGCGCGCTCGGCGTCTCGGCGTAGCGGATGCTCTGAGGGACATGGCTTTGTGATGCAGCATGCGCCAACGACGAGCGACGGCCGCTGCCAGCCCCGCCTACGCTCTGCGTCATGCCGTACGGAGATCGGGCTTCTGACGGAATTGTCCGCCCGGTTGCGCGCATAAACTCATGATACGGCCGGTACATAACCGGCGAGCCCGCGCTGCCGGTACCTGCACCCGCGCCCGCGCCTGCGCCCGCGCCCGCGCCTGCGCCGCCTGGAATCACAACCGGTGGTGGAGGTGTCTTCCGCCGCTTGGCCTCCTGGATCGAGCCCGGCGTCGAGCCGGCCAGCAGCGGCGTCGACTCTGAGTGCGGGAGCGGACCAGTGAATTTCGACCGCGGCGTGTGGTGCGCCGAGTGGATGGGCGAGACAGGGACCGACTGGCTGCCGACGGCGTCGGCCGACGCAGGATCGGGCAGGGCAAGGAGGTCGTCGCCGCGGCTGTTGTTGTTTCGCGACCGCATGCGCTTGACCGCTTGCTTGGAGCGGCGGATGAGCGAGGTGATAGTGAGTGACTTGAACGCGCGCATGACTGGCTCGGTCGTGCCTGGGTGGAACGGGAGCGGGATGTCGTGGACTGCGCGAAAGTTGCCGCAGTTGCTCACATGCTCGTTCTCAAGCCGGAAGATGATCCACTGCGTCCGCCGCAGGATCTCGATAAAGGCAAGGAGGAAGACAAAGAGGTTCGGGTTGAACGCCGTTGTGATGGGCACCGTCACAATGGTGAGCATCCACACAAACCGGCCGATGAGGTTGGTGAAAATGGCAAAGTAGAGCCAACTCGGCGAGATGTGGAAGGCCGTCCGCAGCTTGAGCCGCCCGCCGGAGAACTGGACCAGGCCCCAATCCATAACCACGTCCCACAGGTACTTGTACGTGGCGGCAAGGGCGAGAAGGACAACCCAGAGCACTTTTTGTGTCGACCAGTCGCCGAGCGCCGAGTGGTAGCGCTGGAAGAGGCCGCCATAGGTGACCGCGGTGAAGCCGACCGCATACTTGAGCGCGTTGAAGAGATGCTCGATCTGCCGCTGATCGTTGAACCGCCGGAGGCACTGCATCATCCGCCAGAACATGGGCAGGCCGGTGAGGACCGGGAGCGCGTACAGCTTGTTGTTCTTCTGGCATGTGTCGTACACGTTCGACTCCCACGAGCCGGTCACGTAGAAGCACACCGTGTACTCGAGGTCGTAGAGGACCTTGACCAGCGACGTGAGGATATCGCCGATGAGAAAGTCGGAGAATCGGATCTCGCCAAACGGCGCAACGCTGACGTGAAGCAGCCGCCAGAACATCCACTTGCGCGTGTGGCGGTAGAGAATGTCAAACGGACAAAGACGGCCCGAGAAGAAGGACCAGCATGAGCATCGGGTACCAGTGCGGCGAGAGGAACGAGATCGGGTTGAACCCGGACCGGATCGAGGTGAGGAACATGGTGAAGAACGAGAGCCACACTACCGAGAGCATAGAGGCGAACCGAAGGAGCTCAGAGAGCGTCATGGTGTGCCGCGGCGAGAGCTCCATGATGAACGCGTAGTTGACTCGCTTTTCTCAAAGACCCACACCACAAAGGCCCAGCACCAGACTGTGAGGATGAGAAGCGACGTGCATCGGAAGATGGGCAGCGATGCAAAGAATGCGTCCTGATTCCAGTGCGCTTGCGACTGGTTCACCGTCACAATGAGAATGAGCTGCCAGACGAGCGGAATGCACATGCCCATAAAGAGGCCGAGCGAGTAGACATCGCGGAACGACTTGCGCGGCGCCTGCCGGCGGGCTGTCAGGTGCCGCCGCGCCCGTTCGAGGTTGTTCTCGGTAAAGAGCGCGCCGTAGATGTGGACAATGTCCTCGGCAATGACCTGGAGGTGCGCCGCCCGCGCGTGGAACGCCATCTGCTCCACCGTGTCCATGTACTTGTGCCACACGGCGATGCCGGTGAACCGGTCGTGCTTTCGGGTCAGTTTGTAGATACCGGTGTAGTTGAGCGTGGCGTAGTTGTACAGCAGGAGGAAGCCGCGGTACACCTCAATGTACGCCAGCTTGAGGGAATGGACGTCGTTGACGTCCGTCGGCGTCTCGTCAGACATGACAATTTCCGACACAAGCGTGATCTCCTTGAGCCGCTCGATGTACTTGCGCTCACGAGCCACAAAAAGGCGTTGATCATCTCGACGTCGTCCTTGAGCATGCTGAAAAAGGCCTTGTGCTCCTTACGGATGGCCTCGGCCATCGAGAACCGCTCGGACGCGTCGACCCGCGCGTCCGACAAGTACTGTCGGTACGACGCCAGGAGTGCCGCCTGTGCGCTCTCAGTCCGCCCTGTCCCGGCCGGCGTACCCGTGCTTGCGCCAGAGTCTTCCGGTGGAATGAACGAGACCCGGCGCTCCGGAGGCTCGCCGCTCTCGCTCTCTTCGGCTCCGCTCGCCAGCCGCAGCCGCGCCGCGGCAAGCTCGGCCGACGGCAGCGACTCGGGCGGAAAGGCATCCCGCGGGCTCTTCTCGCCGGTGCTCTCAAGATCAGAGAGGATCTGGAAGTCTGTCGGCGGTGGCCGATAGAGCGACGATCCAGGCCGCTGCTCGTCATCCCCGCCCTCCCACAACCCGTTGTCGATCTCTGGCAGCTCGGGCGGATCAAAGGTGACCGAGAGCAAGTGGCCGGCTGCGTCCATGTCGTTCAGTGACTTTTTGATGAGCTTGAGCTGATTCTTCAGCTCATCGTACTGCACATACTTGCTCTTCCACTGCCGACCCCGACCCGTTCCCCATCAGCGGCAGCCCGTCCGCCACACGCCACCACCACCGATCGAACTATCGTGAGTGTCATCCCAACTTCCTCCTCTTCCTCCACATCATCATCCCCACCTCGACCACACTGCCTACCTCTTCGATGGTGTTGGCCTTGAGATGAAGGCCAAACTTGACCATGGCCTAAACCACGAGGACAACGACGAGCACCAGGAGGAGGACCAGCAGCAACAGAAGCGACAGCAACACACACCACAAGGACAAGCGCCAACCACCCACGGCCTTGGATAGACGGGGGGGGATGGGATGCACTGCCACGTGGAGTGTGGCGTCGTGGTCGTGATGAGGAACGGCGAAGGGGGAGGGGGAGGGGGGGGACAGAGACTTGGTGGAGTCGGTCTGCCGTCGGATGTGGTGACTCGTCACCGGTGGTGGGGCGGCCGGCGGCCGGCGGGGCGGAGGGTGAGAGGGGGGGCCAGCTATTGCGATC